CCCCCCGCCCCCCCCCCTTTAACACTGCCCTTCCTCCCCTTTTTTTGCGAAACACTCTTTCCTCCTTGGCCGGCCCGGCTGCCGAGGCGGCGCGCGCAAGCGTTTACAATTAAGGGAAACCTGTAGGGGGGGTCCGAGTATGACTCCCTTGATTTAGGGTTTGGCCGGGCTTGCCTCCAAGGCCCTAAGCCCTAAACCTAACCCCGAAGCCTGTAAACCCCCTAAACCCCTTAAACCCTGTAAACCTCTTAAACCCTTAAACCCTAAACCCTTAAACCCTGTAAACCCAAAAACCCCCTAAACCCCTAAACCCTTAAACTCCCTAAACCCTTAAACCCCTTAAACCCTTAAACCCTCAAACCCCTAAACCCCTAAACCCCTCAAACCCTTTAAACCCTAAACCCCTAAACCCTAAACCCAAAGACCCCTGAACCCTAAGCCCTAAACCCAAAGCCCTAAACCCTAAACCCTAAACCCTAAACCCTAAACCCTAAACCCTAAACCCTAAACCCTAAACCCTAAACCCTAAACCCAAGCCCCCCCCAGAGAGTACACGTACACCCTAAACCCTGTAAACCCTTAAACCCTCAACCCAAAACCCAAAGCCCCCCCCCCCCCCACCAGAGAGAGCTCCACACGCTGCCCCGCACGAAGAGGATAAGCTGCGCGCGCTCGCGGGCCGCCAAAGCCGAAGCTTGCTTCTGGGTAGGGTTTAGGGTTTAGGGTTTAGGGTTTGGGGTTTAGGGTTTAGGGTTTAGGGTTTAGGGTTTAGGGTTTAGGGTTTGGGGTTTAGGGTTTAGGTTTGGGGTTTGGAGGTTGGGTTTGGTTGGAGGTTTGGCGTTTGGGTTTGGGGGTTTAGGTTTAGGGTTTAGGGTTTAGGGTTTAGGGTTTGGGGTTTGGGGTTTAGGGTTTGGGGTTTAGGGCTTAGGGTTTGGGGTTTGGGGTTTGGGGTTCGGTGTTCAAGGGTTTGGGGTTTAGGGTTTCTAGAAATTGTATAGGGCTTGTGTCCGGAGATTTGTTGGGCGGGTTTTGAGCGAGTTGCTTTTTTTGCTCTAGGGCTGGGGGCTTGGCCTTTGGATTCCTGTTTAGAAAAACCCATGCTTGAGGAATCACTAAGTAATCTACTCAAACTTGAGCTGTTTAGACGAATAACTTGAGAAATTCAGAATAACAATCCCACCAGGCGCTTTGGATGAATTTACGTAAGCTCTGCTTTTCAGCAGTTCAGACAAATAACTTAGAACCCAGAGGTTTAAGTGAATTGATTCTTTGGCCTTCCGAAAGCGCTTTGGTTTTGTTTACTTAAGCTCGGCTTGTCAGATGTTTAGACAAATAACACGGGACATTCACGATAATACCACATACAATTTGTATTTATCCTGGTCTTGAGGGTTTAGGGGTTTAGGGTTTTTGGCATTTTTCCTGAATCTGAATGGCTCTCTTTTCCAGGCTGGTTTAGGGTTTAGGATGTAGGGGGTTAGGGTTTAGGTGTTGGTTTGGGCGAATTGAAGACTTCAGGGTTATGGGGCTTGTTGCTTTTTGGGCTCGTCTGACGTGTCCGAGGGATTGAATGCTGGTAGGATGAGGGTTCTAGAGTATATAGCTTCTTGGGTTGTTGAGGGTCTTTGGGTTGAAGGGTACGAGCATCTACGTAGGGCTTAAAGCTTCAGAGGTTTCAGCTGCAAGGGATTCGGCTCAATCTTGGCAGTCAGGGTGAGGTTTAGGGTTTAGGGTTTAGGGTTTAGGCTTTAGGGTTTATGGTTTAGGGTTTTCCTGATGTGCATCAAGCAACCCACATTCCCGGCCAAGCCTCTCGGGCTTGCGGAACAAAACCCCAAGCCCGAAACCACCAACACGTCCCCAAGATACGCGACCTGGTGCCTTAAACCCTGAACCCTGAACTCTGGTTAGGGTTAGGGTTTACGGTTCAGGGTTTAGGGTTTGGGGTTTAGGGTTAGGGTTTACGGTTTAGGGTTTAGGGTTTAGGGTTTAGGGTTTAGGGTTTAGGGTTTTGCCACAGTTTTTTTCTACGACCCCAGGCCCGGTTGGCCGCCAAGGCACAAGGTACTTGTCGTAGTTGCTACTCAAGATACCTGCCACTCGGGATGTTCCCGCTTACACTAACAGGGATTGTAGTATCCCCCCTAGTATCCCTAAACCCTAAACCCTAAACCCTAAACCCTAAACCCTAAACCCTAAACCCTAAAGCACCGAAGCTCGGAAGCCCCAAAGCCCCAAACCCTACAGATGGTTCCGCGTCCCACGTCGGCCCTTTCCTCCCAAAGAAGCTAAACCCTAAAATGTTCCATGCTCTTTCGACCTGGAAGACCCGTTAAGCTGCCATAAGATCTTCTGGGACACCCTTTAAACCTCAAGTCTAGGGTCTATATCTTGCACTTAGCACGGAATTGCTGGCGATACCGCAGATTCGGACCCTTTCGACTGAGGGTCCACGACAAGAATCCTGGATAGTTAGGATTTTGGATTTAGGGCTGTAGGGTTTTTCGGGCTTTGGGTTCAAGTTTCTTTCCAAAGGCCACTGCCCTTGGGCTCTTTGGTTCTCGGGTTTAGGGTTTAGGGCTAGGGTTTAGGGCCTGATGAAGAGCGGGGTTCCGCTCAACAGGCGCTTAGGGTTTAGGGTTTAGAGTTTAGGGTTTAGGGTTTAGGGGTTCTTGAAGAGGCGTCAGGGACTCACGATGGCAAAATCGGTTAGGAAGCCCCAAAGGGAATGGCTACCCACGCAAGGGCAACGTTCTGCCGCAGGCACCGATGAAGAGATTCATCTCGACGAGGGTTATTCCTCAAGATCGGAAGAACTGCTGGGCCGCGATTGTCGGATTGGTTTGAGAGCTTGCTAGGAGAGTCAGGGCGCCCTTTTTGCTTGATGGACAAAAAACGCCTAGCCCTGAAAGTAAGAGGGTACCTTTCAAGGGTGGATTGCTTGTTTGCTGTGTCCTGTGGACTGTTCATGCTCTTAACCGCTACAAGGTTCGGGCTTTAGGGCTCTTTAAGGCTCTCAGCCTCTAAGACTATCGTCGAGGTGGCCCACAAGAGTCGCGTGGGACTTGCCACACCACTCGCCAAGACAAGTTGCCCAAGCGCCCTACACTGCAAACCCAAAAAACGACCTACCTTAAGCCTCAACGCCTTAACTTCCCCCTAAGCCCCCCCGACATACTTCCCCAAGCCAATACTCACTAAGAGGCCGAAGGCCACGAAGTAGAAGAAGAGATGGACGAAGGCGTGGTCCTCTTGTAAGTTCGCCACAGGTGGGCAGGGTTTCGGGTTGGGGGGTTCCAGAGGGATCTGAGGGCTTCTCGATGGTTAGGGTTGAGGGTTTAGGTTCTATTGTTTATCATAGAAGCCAAAAAGGTTGGAAACTCAATAGCCTCAATCTCTAAGAGTAAAGCAAAGGGAATCCCAGCACTATTTGTCCTTAAACAGGTTTCCAACTTCTTGGGGTTCACTGTAGGGTTCTCGGATGAAACAAACGCAGCTTGGCACGCGCATCTACAAGTACCGGCCTGCCCCGTTGCCGTGGTGCATTGACTCAGGCCAGGGGTGGCGGGCGCAGCTTCGGCAAAGAGTTTAGGGTTTAGGGTTTAGGGTTTGGGGTTTAGGGTTTAGGGTTTAGGGTTTAGGGTTTGGGGTTTAGGGTACGAGCAGTAAAGACGTGACTCCCTTGGCACAGGTTTGGTGACACCCGGAGTTGGCAAGACACACATCTCTCTCTTCCTTGAACCGACGAAACGATGTAAACTCACCCTAAACCCTAAACCCTAAACCCTAAACCCTAAACCCTAAACTCTAAACCCTAAACCCTAAACCCTAAACCCTACACCTTTAACCCTAAACCCTAAACATCATTAGACTTTGGGGGCCTTTGGGTCGGCAGGCACCCCCAGGCGAACTTAACGACTTAGGCTCTAAACCCAAGGCTCCCACGCCTCCAAATTGGGTACCCTAGGGCTTTAGGTTTTAGGGTTTAGGGTTTAAGCCCGAAACCCCTAAACCCTAAACCCCAAAGTCTTTGTTGGGGGTTCCAAAACTAATGATTCAAGCTTCCGGAAGAGCAAATTATAGTTCGTTGTGCTCGCCCGTGATAATGTGGGTACGTCAATTGGGGGGGGGGGGTCCCTTTTTGGGTGCCCATTATAAGGCGGCACCCTTTAAAAAAGGATCCTATAAACGGGACCCTAACTTAGAGAACTGCCTGTGTAGTAAACGAACTTATGCCATTAAAATGAGGAATGCATGTGACGATAGAAAATGGGCTATTGTATGCCGCCCTTCAACGAAGGAATTGGGGGAACGACGCGCCCTTTTCGCAACAACATATAGTGCATTTGTAAGTTCTCCCAGCCATCTATTTTATGGGTGTTTTCCCCCCAGAATCAATCATGAATGTTTCAATCTTTAGAAATCCAGCTCGAAATCCAGTATTGAATTGCGGGCAAGTTCACGCGCACCAAAATGATTTGAAAATTGGCTTTACAAAGAGTGAAAGGCAGAGTGAACGGAGTGAGTGAAGTGAGCACCCCAAAGATCTAATTTTACTAAGCATATTTGCAAGTTAACGCCTGAAATCAAGCTGCTTCATGGGGTCTTTTGGTTCATTCACTTCACTTCGCTCATGTGTTCACTTGTATCAGTCGATCACGCGTTCACACACTCGCTTCGCTCACTCCGTAATTGATAGAAATTGATAGAAGTGAGCGCGGGAGAAGCCGTGATGCGAATGGTGAAAGTGTACTCGCTGATGAAGGTAAGAATGAAGGGAGAATACGACGAGAAACAATGATACGGAGTCCATGACGCATGAAACGCACGAGGGCGCTCTATGAATAGTCGTATTTTGCGCCCGGACAATAGTCATACTAATAGTGCGTAAGCGTGAACACGTCGAAATAGACTACAAAGTTACCATTCTAAGGGGGCCATATAAAGATTATCGAAAGGCCCCGATTTTACTCTTCATGTTCTCCGGGCCCAATGTAAAGAGTTTTAATGGCCCGGCAAAATAGTCTGGCGACAATCAGCTCGCATCGCGTCCTTAAGAACTTCGAAGCGCACGCGCGCGCAAAGAGTTCTTGGCCAGAAGACACCAAGCGGGAGCTCTACTATACATCTGCAGATCAAGATCATGACGGTTTAGGGTTTAGGGTTTAGGATTTAGGGTTTAGGGCGAAAGTGATCATGAACGGTAGCGAAAGCAAAGTCTGCGGAACGAGGTGGCCCAGCACAGACATCAGCAGGCGGTGCAGGCACATCCTCCGGACCCTTGGTGTAGGTTGAGGGGTTAGAGGGGTAGAGGTGTAGGGTTTAGGGTGTAGGGTGTAGGGTTTAGGGTTTAGGGCTAAAAATCGAAAGGTATGTCCACCGGGTATATGCAGCCAGGAGCAGACTGTCAAACCCTCCATTGGGGCGACGCGCGATTGCCTTCGAGGCCCTCAGACCAGCAGGCTCCAATATCAAGGGGACACCTTCTTTCCATGCTTTTGTGGCCTCCCTCAAGCACTAGGCCATCGTTCCCGAACTTGTGCCGTACCATATCCCCAAGAAGTAATTGAGAGAACTACACATGTCCCAAAACTCAAAGCTCCCCCCAAAAAAAGAACTGTCCTCTGTCGGGCTGGGATCTTCGGGCTCCAGCACTCCAGCCTCTCCTGGCGACCCCGCCCCCTCGTTCGCTTGGCTTGAGAGGATTCAGGACTTAGGAGGCTGAGGGTTTAGGGTTTAGGGTTTAGGGTTTAGGGTTTAGGGTTTAGGGTTTAGGGTTTAGGGTTTAGGGTTTAGGGCTGGGTCCGGGATGGGTAGAGCTCCTCAGGTATGGTTGCGATGCAACAAGGGGCAGCCAAAGTCTTTGAGGCTCGGCCGAAGGGGAACCCAAATTGTGCAAAACTTATAGTATAGGGTGCTTCAGGGAGGGGTGTGTAACCCAAGTAAGGTTCCTTTACTCTCCCTCCTACTCCCTAAGGTTCCCTTGGTACCTACCCCCCGAGAACCCACCTCCTTTCAGGACGCTATAGTACACGCGCAATCACTAAACCCTAAACCCTAAAACCCTTCACAAAAGGGTGGGGTCAAAAGCAGCAAGCCACCAAGTGCCAGCCGGCCTGGTGTGAAGATCGTGTCCTTGCAGCGAACGGCGCGCTTTTTTTTGGGGTCCTTTGGGGCCTTAAGGGCTTACGGTTCAGAGTTTAGAGTTCAGCATCTCAAGTCAAAGCATTCACTAGTCAAGCAGCTTGTCAAGCGACCGAGACATTACCCCCCCCAGTTTCCATTGGGTCCCACAACATTCGGAAACTTGTTCACTTTACATCGAATTCCGCAAGCCAGCTTCTATCCTCTTCAAACAGCCCACGGAACACTTTACCAAATGCCCGCGCGGGGATCTTGCTAGAATGCCAAAGGCCCCTAAACCTTAAACCCTATACCCTAAACCCTGAACCCCAAACACTAAACCCCAAACCCCAAACCCAAGAAAACTTTGCCAAGATGCCCACCCCAGTGCCCACAAAAAAAAAGCCTGCGGCCCCCACTACCTACAGAAAGCTTTGCCAAAATGCCCGGCCCATGGAAAACTTTGCCAAAATGCCTTTCCCACGGAAAACTTTACCAAGCCGGGGCATTCTGGCAAAGTTTGCCACTTGGTGAAGTTTTCCGTGGGCAATTCTGGCAAAGCTTTCTGTGAGTATTGGGGGCTGCGGGCATTTTGGCGAAGTTTGGGGTTCTTAAGCCAATAGTAGAAATAGGGACCACCATTTGAACTGCCCGTCGGGCACCCTTTCCCCTACGCTGCTTTCATCTCGATCCCTGCTTTTCGTGTGTTTTTAAGGATGGGAAGCGAACCGACCGTAAAGGGAAGATGTGTACCACTAAGTCGGGCCGGGAGGGGAGGACTCAGCAGAGGATCAACAAACTCCAGCTCGTAGAGGTCGAAATCACCCAGGAATCCCAGTCGAAAGGTCTTCCTGTGGCTGCTGTTAAAGGGGTTTCGGGTCTCAGGACAGTGCCGACTGACTTTGATAGCCAAGGTACCCCCGACCAAACCGGCAAACTCGCCCATAGCACAGAGAAGCCTGGCTTCCGGAAGCCCTAAACACGGAGCCCTAAACTCTACATCTTGAACGCCCAAAATCTTAAGGCCCTACAAGGCTGAATCCCTAGTCATCGTGCCAGGAACGTCAGGCCCGAACGCAAGCCCTCATGCCCCAATCCCTAGGCCCTGGACCCGGACCGTACTTTGCCAGCGTTCAGAGGGTTTGGGGTGCTTAGAGTTCAGAGTGGAGGGTTTACTTACTTCTCCAATAACCAAGGGGGGAAAAAGGCTAAATTTTAATATCCCTACTAAATAAGGAAGCCCAAAAAGTTTAAAGTTCAACTCAAGGCGAAGTACGTTTAAGGTTAGAGAAATCTTGGCTGCACTCACAAAGGTAGCTATAAATTAAACTTTTAGCTGCCTTACTCAGAAACCCAATGAACCCAAAAAGGGTAAGGATCTAAAGTTGCGGTAAAGTACCACAAAGAAAATTGAGTCCTACAAAAACCCAAGCCCTAAGCCCTAAACCTTCAGCGAGGTGCTCGATTGCCCGGTAGAGCCCCCCCGGCATGCGCGGGATGCTCAGAACAAAGTAGCCTTGGGGCTGGGAGAGGCCTTTGGGGCAGAGGGGCTGAGGGGCATCCGAGCCCTAAACCCTAAACCCTAAACCCTAAACCCTAAACCCTAAACCCTAAACCCTAAACCCTAAACCCTAAACCCTACCAGGGCCTGTAGGTTGAAAAAAACCAAGACTCGCCCTCATCCACGGAGGAAGCCCACCCAAACCCAACGGGGTACTTAGTGAGGAAGGGTTTAGGGTTTAGGGTTTAGGGTTTAGGGCAAGCCCTATACACCAATTCTAACCTGACTCCCTACTAAGCTAGGGAAGGATACTACGGGTCCTCCACTCCTAAGCCAGGAGGCTGGGCCACGGCCTTTGGGAAAGTACTAGGTTCGCAGTTCAGGGCTTCAACCGAAACTGTCCTTCTTGGTCTTGGGTTCGCATTCAAAGGAACCTCGAACCCACCAAGAAGGCACAGGGTGCGCCACTGGCTGGTGCAGCTTGCTGACACAGAAACCGGCTCAATTCTGGGATGGTGCAATCTCGAGGTACCCTTGACACGGTCCTTGGGGTTGGTGGAAACCCTAAACCCTAAACCCCTAAACCCCTAAACCCTAAACCCAAGTGGGGCTTCCCGCGCTTCCCCTGCTGAGGAGCTGTGCACCGCGGCAGCGAAGGTAAACGTCACCTTTGAGGTGGTTGCAGCTCTCGGCCCCAAAACGCAAAGCCCCATATATGGGGGTTTCCGAAACTTGGCGGGTAGCTTGTTGGGGTCCTTATAAAGGTTTAGGGTTTAGGGTTTAGGGTTTAGGGTTTAGGGTTTAGGGGGTTTCCGAAATTAGGGGGTACCTTGTTGGGGTCCGTATTATAAAAGGAAATCCTACTACTTGGGGGTCTATATCAGGGGTCCCTTGTTGTCGGAAACCCACACTCAGTGATGGTTGGTGTCGGACGGCGGAACAGCCCTCACAAATTTGGAAGCTTTAGGGTTTAGGGTTTAAGGTCTGGCAAATTTTGGGGAATCTGTCGGCATCTTTTCCCCAGGCCGAGAATCTAAACTCTCACCCGCAGAGATGGATACGCGACGAGGCGAGATGGCAAACGAGTCCCGCACCCAGCTCCCTATCATGAGGATGGTGCTTGGAAGGGTCAAGCGGTGTCCACCTGAAGGCCATGGCCTCGTTGTGACAAATGTCCCGGGAATTCCCTGCCCAAAACCCAAAACCCTAAGGGCATGTAAGAGTTTAGAACCCTAAACCCTAAACCCTAAACCCCAAACCCTGCACATTAAACTAAGCCCTAAACCCCAGGCACTTCGGTCGGCCGAGGGGTTCCAGGGCTTTTGGGGTTTAGGGCTGGATTCCCCTGGGCTCCACATGTTTTGGGTTTAGAGCTTAATCAAGATTCAAGGGGTTTAGGGTTTGGGGTCTAGGGCTTAGAGAGGGTTTAGGGCTTAAGAATTTAAGGGTTTGGTCTAGGGTCCGCAGCTCTACCGGGCCACCACAATCAGAAAGGTGCCAGTGTCCCTCATTGCCCAGAGTATTGGCAGCAACTTCTCCTCGGATTCTTTGCGCCGACGAAAAACGGTCGTAGGGGACTTGACTCGAAGGCATCAATTCGTGAGGGCTAAACCCTAAACCCTAAACCCTAAACCCTGAACCCTGAACCCTGAACCCTGAACCCTGAACCCTGAACCTGGGACCCAAACCCTATACAATTTCTATAAACCCTAGGGTTTAGGGTTTAACGTTTAGAACTTGCATCCGCCCAAAACACCCAACCCTAGAAACGGGGATCCATGACTTGGTAGCCCAGTAACCATCTTACAATAAGGGCACCCTTTTTTGGGGTTTAGGGTTTAGGGTTTAGGGGTTGGTTATTTAAGGGAAACCAGAACCAAACAAAGGGGTAAAGTGTACCACTGGGCTACCAAGATGATCCACTGCAATGCAAGCACGCCCCAAAATTACCCCTCAAAAGACCTCCACCCTTGCAAGTCACGCATCCAACGCGTGCAGCCGCCCCCCAGAAGCCTGACTGCCCTGGGTTCCTACCCTGCAAATACAAGAACCTAACCCAACAATAATTCGGGTTTAGGTTTAGGGTTTAGGGTTTAGGGTTTAGGGTTTAGGGTAAAAAAAAAGGAAGGCGCCCCTACAAAAACCTAGCTCTCAAAACCGCGTTTTCACATGGGCAGTTCTTCCCACATTAGAGTCCCACTTTGTTGGGTCCTTACTACCCAGATAGTTTTCAGGGGACCCCCCCCAAAGAAGGGACCCTACTATCCTACTGCCCTCCTACCCCAATACACTACTACCCTAATACCCGAATAGCTAATGCCTTAACCCCCAAGTACCTACTACCCAAGTACCCTACTACCCTAATACCCTAATACCCCACTAGCCTAATCTATGCTCCCCTTAGAACCTTAATAAACGTACTATTCTTAATACCCTCTTGGGTTTTATATAAACAAAAAATACTTCTCAAGGGGGATATAGTAATACCCACTACTACTACTACTCCTCCTCCTCCTACTACTACTACTACTACTACTACTACTACTACTACTACTACTACTACTACTACTACTACAATACCCCCCCCCCCCCCAAACCCTAAACCCTAAACCCTAAACCCTAAACCCTAAACCCTAAGCCCTAAACCCAAAACCCATCTGGCTCCCAGTGCTGCGCAGCTGGGGCTCGCTAAACTGCCAGGCGCCGAAGCCCCGCAGCCTGGGCCGCTGGCAGTCTAGGGTTTAGGGTTTAGGGTTTAGGGTTTAGGGTTTAGGGTTCAGGGTGTAGGGTTTAGGGTTTAGGGCCTAAAGTTTAGAGTTGAGGGGGCAGGTTGAGGATTTCAGGGCTTCGTGTTTTTTGGGCTTCTTGGGGGGTAAGATCCGCCTTGCCCTGTTTTGGGGGGTCTCCGAGAAATTCTCCCCAGGATAGTTTGGGGAACCCAAAAAGCCATTTGCAAGTCCAGTTGCTCTACTTATAAACCTGAAAGTTAGCTTTTGAAGTTGTTCCCTGTTTGAGTAGCTGAAGAAAAGCGATGAGTGGAAGCACCTCGCGGGATCGTGGCTTCATGCTGCCTCCCTTCATGTTTCCCTTTCTCTCCTTCGTGCCCCCCTCCTGCCTCCCTTGCGATCTGCCCTGTGGACCAGAGCCGGATTTGTCATTGCCGCTGGGGGCTGCGGCTTCGCCATCCCAAAGCACTTCTTGGAGGTTCATGGTACTTATTAACCAATTCTGACTGTACTTATAACCCACTTATAAGCCCCTTAAGTGCCCTAATATAACCCTATAAGTACAGTTATAAGGTTAGTTATACTTGGTTAATATGTACGATGAACCTCCAAGTTGGCTTAGAATCACTGATGTTGCCTTCGTTGCAACCCAGTTGTCCTCTTGGCTGCTGCCAGCGGGGGCGCAGCGCTTAGAGTACAACCCTAAACCTTAAACCCTAAACCCTAAACCCCTAAAACCCCTAAAGCCCCTAAAACCCCTGTTTTTCATGTCCTGTAGGCCTGGCTGGCAGCCCTTAGGGCCAGCGCGTCCCGCCCATTCGGGCCGGTGTATCCTGCCGGCTCGGTGGGTTGGGGGTGGGCACATGGTGTGTTTGGTTTTAGGTGGGCATTAGCAGGTTAAGAGCCTCGCTCTGCCGCTGGACTGCCCTCGGGCATTCACAGAGCGCCTGGTGCGCTCACAGTTTGTGGAGGGTAGGCGGAGGTGGTTGGTTTGTTGCTTGTCTGGGCTTCCGTGCATTCACAGAGCGCTTCAAGCGCTCATAGGGTGGTGGGGGGCAGGAGGGCTGTCGGTTGGTCCCTGCGTAGAGCGTGCTGAGGAGGGATGTTTGTCTTTTGCGCCTCGGCCCCTGGCCTTGTTGGAGTCTGCAGCTGTGCTCCGCCGCGGTGGGTGCAGCGCCTGCCATGCCGTGAGTGCTGGTGGGCAGGCCGGCGCTTGCTCTGGACCATTGGGGGTTCAGGTGAGTGCCCACCCTTGTGCTCCCCATCCTGGTCCGGTAGCCCAAAGTGGTTGGGGCTTCTGTGCCAGGCTCTGGGGGTGCGAGGGCACAGTGGCCAACGCAGACGGTAACGGACATGAAAGTTGTGCTTTTCTGCGCTTCGCGCTCAAAGCCGGGGGGTGTTTTTCATGTCCTGTAGGCCTGGCTGGCAGCCCTTAGGGCCAGCGCGTCCCGGCCATTCGGTGTATCCTGCCGGCTCGGTGGGTTGGGGGTGGGCACATGGTGTATTTGGTTTTAGGTGGGCATTAGCAACCCCTAAACCCCTAAACCCCTAAACCCCAAAACCCCAAAACCCCAAAACCCCAAAAACCCTGAACCCGAAACGCCTGTTGCGGGCTGAAGGTCTTTAAGCAAAGGCCAAGGGGCCAATAGAGTGCAGACAGCCAGACCAGTGTGAAGTAGAAGGCGATCAGAGATCCTAGATGTCGGGCTCAGGGTTCGGGGAGTAGAAGCCTTAAGGGTTTTGAGGGAGGGTGCTTCACCCTGAGCCCTTAGCCATTGTGATGGGCTTCGGAATGTAGGAGCTTAGGGTTCTAGAGGTTTAGGCGCTTCAGGGTTACGGTTTGCCAAAACCCTGACTCCGGATTCAATTCGAACTCTCCCGAAACCCTAAATTTAGGGTTTAGGGTTTAGGGTTTGGGGTTAAAGGTTTAGGGTTTAGGATTTATCAATCCTAAACCCTAAACCCTAAACCTTTAAGATGATCCCTCAGGGCGCGGACCCAGATCTCCCTGAGCATGTCTTCTCGAGAGGGTCCCTCTTTCATGGGCTGTGCCAAAACCCAAAACGTCCCAGAAGTTAAGCCTGAACCCGAAACCCGAAACCCTAAACCCTAAACCCTTTTTGGGGTTTAGGGCTTTGGCTGAGGACTCCGAGCCTCACAGAGTTATGGACCCCGGAAGGGTTTCGGGTTGCGGGTTCCCTCCACTTCTATCTTGCGGACGTCTGCTCTTCCAGGGCCTACTTGGAGTTTCATGGTACCTATTAACCAATTATGACTGTACTTATAACCCACTTATAGGCCCCTTAAGTGCCCCAATATAACCTTATAAGTACAGTTATACGTACAGTTATAATTGGTTAATATGTACCATGAACCTCCAAGTAAGGGTTTAATGGCTCAGGGGGTCTAGGGATGAGGGTCGCTGCGTGCCAAGACGCGGCGCAGTGGCCAGGGGTCAAAGAACCACAAGTAGTACCTGTAGGGAAATTAGCTAGCCCTAAACCCTAAACCCTAAAGCCTAAACCCTAAACCCTAAGCCCTAAAAAACAACAAGAAAAAACAACATTCCCAAGAATCCCTAAGGTACAGGGCCGTTGCGCTGATGGAGAGGTAGACCCAGTCGAGGAAGGTGTGAAACGTGGGTCTATGCCTCGCTTGGGTGGCGCGAACCCATTTTCAGCCGTAAAGCCGGGTTTAGGGTTTAGGGTTTCGGGCTTTAGGGTTTAGGGTTTAGGGGTTTAGGATTTTAGGGTTTTAGGGTTGAGGGTTAAGTGCTTCGGATGTACTCCTGAAGCCATGCCTGTTCAGAATCTTCGGCAAGGCAAGAGAAACTCAGGCTGGAGGGCTCAGGGAGTACCTGGAACTGAAGAAAGAGCCAGACAGTTTGATTCTGGCATGTTCTGGCCTTAGAGTTAAGGCAAGGAGCATGGACCCCTAAAGTGAGGACCCAAACACTTTGTCAAGAAAGAGTGTGATTTGCTACGTCCGTACTCTATGGCATTTCTTGAGCTCCTTTCCCCTAAAGTGCGGACCCAGGCACGTCGTCAAGCAGGAGAATGCCAGCAAGTACATGCTGTAGCAGCTCCTCCAGGGACGCCCGGAGGCCATGGTGCAAGATCTAGGTTCAGGGTTCAGGGTTTAGGGGTTTAGGGTTCAGGGTTCAGGGTTTCGGGTTTAGGGCCTCAGTCAGGTGCAACCGACTTTTTTCATCCATCAACTGCTAGAACCTGGGACGCAGTTTTGAAGCCTCGGGCCGGAAGCCCCCAAAATTTCCCAAATGCACTGAGCCCGAACAAAATCCTCCGAACGCCCTAAACCCCAAAAAAACAGCCCAAGCATCCCTAAACCCAAACAAGCCCTGTGGCTCGGGGGTTTGCCCTAAACCCTAACCCTAAACCCTAAACCCTAAACCCTTAACCCTTAACCCTTAAACCCTAAACCCTAACCCTGGCTTCGGCCCGGACAGCATCCCCTGGCTGGCCTTTTGGTGGGAGCACCCGCCGACTTGGGCGACTTGGCCATATCGGGACACTCCCCAGCCTGCCAAAAAGCTTCTTTGGCGGGTTGGGGGTGGGGTTTAGGGTTTAGGGTTTAGGGTTTAGGGTCTAGGGTGGGGGTGGGGTTTAGGGTGTAGGGTATGGGGTGTAGGGTGTAGGGTGTAGGGTGGAGGGTTTAGGGGTTTCGTTTAGAAGTGGGCTTACGGGCTTTAGCCTCTCTGCTCGTCTAGCAGAAGGAACCCCCTCAAGACCTTCAAAGCTCGGAAGGTTGTGAGACACCCCCGAAGACCCTCAAGCGCCCAAAGCCTCACACTCCACGTGTTCTGTTTCTGTTTCATGTTGGGGCTTATTTCTGTAATCTCTAAACCCTATGCTCCTAAACCCTAAACCCTCAACCCCAAACCCTAGAATCGGTTGGTGGGCCTCCCGGACTCCGCAGCAGCAGTAGTTGAAGAGCTGCCACGTCTCCTCGAGGAGCCTCTGGGTTGAGGGTTTAGGGTTTAGGGTTCAGGGTTTAGGGTTTAGTCACTGTGCGTTTGGCTTGGGGACGCGTGGGCTTAGGGTTTGGGGTTTAGGGGGTAACCTTGCACAGGAGAACCCGAAGATAGCCCCTCTTGTATCAACAAAAATGGAAGAAGCAGGATTCTGGGGCTTAGGGCCTTCGGGGTTGTGAAAGTGCCGGGATGGTGTTGTGATGCTGTCTTGATCCCAAAGCCCGAAACTCTAATTGCTTACGGGGGTTTCCGAAGCCTGAAAAGTGTAGATGCAATCTCTGAACCCAGACAGTGGGCACAGATGTGACTTTTGCATTGACCCTTCAGTTCTCTAATCCTCTATTTTTCCGCTTTGGTGGCGGTTCACACGACAGACCTGATGGGGTTTAGGAGGTCGAAGTCGCCTGGAACATCGCGACTTTTGTCCTGCAACAACCTCCCGGGTTTAGGGTTTAGGGTTTAGGGTTTGCTTGCCGAAGCCTACCTTGAAAAGCGGCTTAGGGGGTTAGGGTTTCGGGTACGGCCTCTTCAACCAGAGCGCAACCAACACAACAAAGGCGAAGGCAGGTACCTGCAGAGGGGGGGCTTCAGAAGTTAGTGCTGGGAGGATGGCAGCAGCAACGCGCACGACTGCGTCGAGACCCACACAACCCTAAAACCGACGAATCCAGTTCCCTCCAAGCCCCCAGGAGCTTCGGGTAACCCATCTTTTGCTTCATGCTTTTTACTTAAAGAAGCTGGGAAGCATGGAGCCACCCACAAGGGCATTCTAGATTACTAAGCTTCAAGGCTTAGGGAATAAGTGCACGTCAAGGTGGTTCGTAGGGCTGAGGTTGGCCCTCAACCCTCGTCGAGCCCTATTCCTTCAAAGCCCCTCCCCTCCCCCCCCCCCCCCCAACGAAAACAAAGAGGCTAGATACTCTACCCGGGAAAGTTCCGGCCTTTTAGGGTTTCAGGGGTTCAGGGTTCAAGGGTTTAAGGGTTTAGGGAATATTTTTGGCAGACTGGCGGATTTTAAGGCAAAAAGACGCAGACTTTAAGAACTGTCCCTTGGGATGTTCCCTCTTATGGTGGTACTATCATCCCTAAACCCTAAACCAACCCTAAACCCTAAACCCTAAACCCTAAACCCCAAACCTCAGGAAAAACATCCCAGACTCTGCCGCGCCGGCCTGGGCCTCGCGCATGCCGGCGCTCGCCACGCAGGTCATGGCCACTTGGACCAGGGCCCAGAAGACGTGCCAGAAATACCAGGCCTCCGGGTTTAGGGGTAGGGGCAGGGCTAGGGTTTAGGGTTTAGGGTTTAGGGTTTGGGGTTGAGGGTTTAGGGTTTAGGGTTTAGCTATACAAGGCCTCCCCTGAACCCTAGAACCGCTAGCTGAACCGGGGAAGGCTTGCAGGTGCGCTCTGGCTACCCTGAACCCCAAACCAGTTGCCAAATCCGAAGATCCTGGGGCATGAAGCCGTATCCCATACCACGTCCAGAGCTTCCGCCCAAAGGGCACAAGGTATTAAAGGGCCCTTCAGGGAGGGGGTGGATTCCTAAGAAAATTATAGGGAGCCTAAGTAACGGGGAGTATCCCTTAAGGACCTTGTAGGGGCAGGTGTGGCTCTGCGATTTTGGGGAGGCTTCCATCTCGAGTTTCCAAACGCTCTTGGAACACACCGTGCCTGGATTTCCGTCCAGGAATCGTCCAGCACAGCTTTTACGAACCTCAGCTCGCCCCTTGCGCGGGGTCAGGGCTACCCAATTCGACCCCAGCCCCCCAAAACCCACGCAACAAAGCAAACCCAAGCCGGAACCCATAGACCCTAAACCCTAAACCCTAAACCCTAAACCCTAAACCCTAAACCCTCACAAAAAGCAAAATGGGTACTACCGGGCATCCGAGAACTTGGTGTCCAACAAGCTCTGCTTGGCCTCCATGGCAAGAGCCTTCCTGACCGTGGTTTCCTAAACCCTAAACCCTAAACCCTAAACCCTAAACCCTAAACCCTAAACCCTAAACCCTAAACCCTAAACCCTAAACCCTAAACCCTAAACCCTAAACCCTAAACCCTAAACCCTAACCTCAAGAATACCGAGGACCTTAAGGGCCGTACTGGGAGTATATCAAGGGGACCTATGAGGGTACATCCTTAGGAAAGCAGGGCTGGTGTGCTAAGCGGGCTTTTGGGGGCATTTTTGTGGTTTGAGGTTCAGGAAGAATCTGTGGACAAGCTGCTAACAATTGCAAAAAGTGAAGGCGGCATTCCAAACAGAGGCCTGGCAGCATAATCTTATCATCAGCCAGCAGATTCGCGTCAAGTGGTATCAGGCCGACCGAGACGAAAACCTCCGCCATCGCTGGCCCATCGGTGCCTTTCAGTTTCCTTGGGTCAGGTCGGATGGTCAGGTCGGATGGGGGCTTGGCGCTCAAAACCTTGCGGGCTAAGACTTCAGGGCTTCGGTGTTGCGGTTGTTCACGACCTACAAGACTACGACAACTACGCCAGGCTTCTTATTCAGCTCCATTTTTGCCTCCAGGTCGTCTTGGCCTCCCAGAAAGTTCAGTACATTGGAAGAATGTCGGAGGCTCCGCGAATCATTGCAAAGGAACGCCATTCCTGGGTGCCGGAGAGTTCAGGGTTGGGTTGTAAACCCTAAACCCTAAACCCTAATGTTGACTTCACATTAATGATTCCCGCTACAATTGTAAAATCCAGCTGCCGGAACACAATAATGTAACCCCCCACAATTATAAAATCCAGCCCGGAATATTTTTTTTACGGGCGTGGTGCTACTACCTAATACTAAAACTAATAGTACGTCCTACCAGGATTTAGGCGAATATAATTGAGGAGGCCCTGGCCGGAGAGATTGATCAATCAAGGGGGGGGGGGTTTATTAATGCGAAGTCAACATTAATCGGGTTGTGGGGTTTGAGTTTTTTTCTCCCACCAACGTCCACCAAGAATGCCCCTACGCTCGCAACCCTGAGCTCTACACAGCCCAGAGCCGGAACCCTAAACCCTTAACCCTCCAAACCAAGTTGCGGCAGGTCCGAGCCCGGGAAAGGATCCGAATCCTCTCTATAGTTCATATTCAAACGCGAAACATCCCGCACCATGAATATGTGCTAACAAAAACGAGCAAATTCACGTATACGTGTAAGCAGGTGTCGTTTAATTATAATATGTCAAGATGTGGCAGGGGCCTTTTGGCAACATTTGACGGGTCTCCCTGTTTGAAAACTTAACCAACCCCAATCATCAAGGACTCTGCCATCCGTTGTCTCAAAAACCCTTGTTTCGTCTGTCTCCGGGGAGGCGGCTCCGGTGGCTCAAAGAAAACCTGTTGATGATGAACTCATTGATGCTGTGCCGCATGCCTCCCTAAACCCTAAACCCTAAACCCTAAACCCTAAACCCTAAACCCTAAACCCTAAACCCTAAACCCTAAACCCTAAACCCTAAACCCCCCAAAACCAGTGCCCAAAACGCCACGAGAGAGCCGCCGTCGCGAGACATGCAGCCACCTCCAGCCTCCGTAGCGTCTGCGGTTGAACGCCAGGACGTGTGCCGCACAATGTAGGGGCCTTAATAATTAGAATAGTGTTTTGGGGGGTTATGGTAGTATATTGATAAAGAGATGTTAAGGGAATACTACTAGTAATCATTCCGACCCCCCAAAGTAAGCCCAGAACCTCGGACGGAACACGCTCGAGTTGGAGAGGCCGCCGGTGGTGGCCGTGAGCCAGCGCGTATCGCCCCAGCGCGTTGCCAGGTCGCACAGCGGAGTTTATATAGGGGTCGGAACAACTACTAATAGGGTTTAGGGTTTAGGGTTTAGGGATATTCCCTTAGGGTCCCTTCATAACTATACTATAGTAACCCCTGAAAACCCTATTCTAATTGTTAAGGCCCCTATATAGGTGGTGCTCCGCACGTGATGAACCGTGCCCTGCGGAACACTGCATTCTGCACCGGCCATGGCGCGTCGAGCAGTCTGAGGGGAGCGTGTGCAAAACAAAAAACATGGCCACTTCTCTAAAGTGTGGTCCCCGGACTCCGAAACATGAGGCGGCCCCTGTGATTTAGGGCACCCAAAAAAGGACACGAATTTGGAGAACTCGCCACATAGTGGGGCTATTTGCGATGGGGCTCATTGGTGCCATCGCATCAGTGGAACCCACACTCCCCCATCCCCCATTCCCCTTTCCCCTCGCCCTCTTCCCGAACCTCGCTGCCCCTGCAGTTGAGGTTTGTCCTACAAGCTTGCAGTGGAAAGCGTACCTGCCACATATGCAACACTGAACAAAGAAAGCCGTCCTATATGAGACATAAAGGTCCTAGATTTTTCTATATCTGTGTCTAGTCTCTTATGACATGCAGCTCTACATGGCATATGTAAGGACCTTCAAACCCCAAAACCCTAAGGAAGAGTGGCGATCCCAGCGATTCGTGAAGTTCTGCTTCCAGAAGTTCGCGCGGTTGCGCTTGTCGTAGTAGGTTCCCGCCACATGGAGCATCCTAAGTGAGCTTTCAGCTTCGTGAGGTCTAACGGTTTGAGAAGAGAGCGGGGGTCCTAGAGTCCACACCCTCATGGGTTGAAAGCCCCGGCCAAAAGGAAACCTTGCGCCTTGAATCGGACAGGCTTTATGAGAACTGGGCTCTGCTGGTGGTCTTCGGGGCCTCCGACTGGTCGGGTCGGATTTCATGATAAAGGTTTCGTTCCCCAGAATTTTTAGGAGCTCTGAACGTTTCTCTTGATGTAGGATCTGTTTTGCGGGTCCTTGTTCAGGTGCTGTATTCTACAAGGGACCCCCCCATCAGGAACCCCTATTCAAGAGAACTACCCGCCTTGCATCCCTATGTAGGGCCTGGATCCCTAGACCATCCAACCTGAACCCTAAACCCTAAACCCTAAACCCTAAACCCTAAGCCCTAAACCCTAAACCCGAAACCCCAAGCCCTAAACCCTAAACCCTAAACCGGCCCAAGATTCTGCTCTGGCTCCTTCACCAGATGGTCCAGGACAGTTGACCAGCGGGGGGAGTTCCTTTCTGTTTGGGGGAGAGTTTTAAGGCTCAAAGGCTTTAGGTTTGGGTTAAAGGCGCTTGCATGGGGCTCATGGTCATCTGCTCACCCTAAACCCTAAACCCTAAACCCTAAACCCTGCAGAGTGAACCTTAGGTTTTCCCCTTATGGTAACAGCGGCCACAATCAGCAACTGTAGTTCGAATGCCGACCCCCCCCCGCCCCCCCACCCCCTAAATGAATTTTGTGCTAGGGGCTGCTGCCCGAAAGGCGAGCCCCAAAACCCTAAACCCTTCACCCCTAGTCGGGGAAAATCTGGCTGGTTCTTAGTAGGGAATGTGGGAATGAGGGTCTTATATATATATATATACATATACATATATATATATATATGCCCTTTAAGGGATTATATAAGACCCTCATTCCCTCATTCCCTGCTAAGAACCAAGGGAAATTTCTGTTTTGGGCCGGGGCTCCTCAGGATCTGTGTAATGATCTCGACCTCCCTGTTTTCCAGCAGCTTTCGGACCACCTTTCTGGGGCCACAAAAGTGTCGATGATTTCTAAGGTTCGTGGGCTGAAGAGGGGCTGAAGAGGTTTAGGGGTTCATGGTCTCGGGGGTTTAGGGGTTAGGGTTTGGGGTTTGGGGTTCGGGGATATGGGGATATGGGGGCGAAAAAAGAGATTTAGGCTGGCAGTCTGTGAAAGTGTCGAATTCTGGCGACTTTGGTGTGTCAAAGACATTGACCCTAACCCTAAACCCTAAACCCTAAACCCAAAACCCTAAACCCTAGCTTCACGGCACCTGCAGCTCGTGATACCGCTGCAAGAGCACCGAGGCAATCCTTCGTTGTCCAGCTGGCTTGTTCTTAGTAGGGAATGGGGGGAATGAGGTACCCTACAGAATCCCTTAAAAGGGTATATATAGGACCCTCATTCCCACATTCCCTACGAATAGCCAGGGGGGCCAGTATCCTAGGGGAACTAAAGGTGAACCTTTAAGGAACGTGTAAGGTTAGGGCATGGGTTAAAGCCCTTACCTGGGCTTAGGGTTTAGGGTTTAGGGTTTAGGGTTTAGGGTTTTCTACTAAGAATCTCCGGGCGGTGCTTGAACACGAAGGTCACCAGGTCGCTTTGGTTCCGCTTCGCCGTGTTGCTATCGCTGCGGTCACAGTTGGCATCTGTGTCCTAGAGGTGGGCACGAACCCCGCGACCTCTTAAGGAAAAGTCTTCGAACGCTAGCCAACCCCCTCGCCGCCCTCCCCCCCCCCAAACAATAAACACAAGTTAAGCCCCATATGGCGAACCGTGCATTGTCTCAACCGGAGGCGCAGAGTCAAATGTTCCTAGACACAATACCAAACTAATCACATACTGCTTTGCAGGCACAGGGGTGCCTCAACTCTGATACCCGGGAAATTCCGTGTTTAGGGACAAGGTTGTTGGGAAAGACTGCGATTTGCTTTCAGAGCCCCCCCCTCCAAAAAACAAAACAAACAACAAATCCCTAAATTGTCCCAACAAGGAAGAGAATACTCTTCTTTTTTGGATGGTTCTTAAGCTTAGTTGCTGAGTTCATAAACCCCAAAAAAGTGTAAAGTGTGCTCACTCAGCTACTGAGTAAGCAAGTAGTGGAGGATGTCCTCCAGGTGCGCCAAAAGCCTAAGTTGCTGAGTTCATAAGCCCCCCCCAAAAAAACAAAAAACAAAAAACAAAAAGAAAAAGTGTATTCTTTCGATAGGGGATTATAGCATCCCTAATCCCTAAACCCTAAACCCTTCAGCCAAAAAACGTGTAAAGTGTACTCATTCAGCTGCTAAGAAGCTCTTCGAAGCACGCCACATCGTCAGCTTCCGCGGCCAGCTGGATCGCGGGCCGATGGTCGTGCCAAGTGGTCACGGTCCAATCCTGGCTTCAGGGTGTGGTCTTAAACCTCATCCTAAGCCCTAAACCCTAAATCCTAAACCCTAAACCCTATATCCTAAGCCCCAAGCCCTCAACCCAAATCCAAACCCTGGGACTCCGAACATCTGGGCGCATGCCCGAGAAAGACCCCCAGCTTCCCAAAGAGCCGCACAAGTACCCCATAGTTTTGAAAAGATACCAGGGTTTAGGTTTTCAGGGCTTGGGTTTAGGGTTTAGGGTTTAGGGTTTAAGGGTTAAGGGTTAAGGGTTTGGGGTGTAGGGCTCCAAAAACCCTGAACCCTGAACAGGTAGATTCCTAATTCAGGCGAGCTCGGGGTCCGAAGTTTCCGCAAGCCTGCTCCCCAAAAACCCTAAAAGAGGTTTTCGGAGTGAGGGTTTAAGGCAATAAGGCATCTAGGTTGACCCTTCGACCCTCTCAAAAAAGACTCTTGGATAAGAGCCTCTTAAAATCCCCAAAAGGGAATATGTAAAGCTGCCCCAAAGGCCTGCCAAGGCTTTGTTTTGAGATGGTCTTGGGTTCAGGGCTTGCCCCCCTGTAAACCGCACCTGTCTCTCGAGAAGTCGCTGTTCTCTCGCGCTGGCGAGGATACCTGGGGCTCTGAGCGCTGAAAGCTAGATCCCTAGACCCCAAGCCCTCAAGCCTAAAAAACGAACCCTAAACCATAAACCCTAATTCCTAAACCCTAAACCCTACCCCTAAGCACTTATGCGGCATATGCGTCAACAGCTCGCAAAAAGGTTGCCGACAGTGCAGGTCTTAGGCGGGAACCCGGCGCACCCTCAACTTATAATCAGGGTTTAGGGCTGGAGTCTAGGGCTTTAGCTCTGTTAGGGTTTTCGAAGGTTAAAGCTGAAGCTTGAAAGTCTTCCGGACATTGTCATCCCCGGCGGCTGCATGTCCCCAAATCAACCAGACAACCCAAAACCCAAAACCCTAAACCCTAAACCCTAAATCCTAAACCCTAAACCCTCAACCCTATAAACAACCCCGGACCTCACACCCAAAGCCCCGAACCTCCTGAATTCCCAAGCCGAAGGCATCGCTCCCAGGACCAGTCCTACTGGTGCCCCAGGTAGAAAAGTCGGACAATACTGCGCTCTCTTGTACTTAGTATGGGAAGGGGTTAGGGTTTAGGATTTAGGGTTAGGGTTTAGGGCTTAGGGTTTGAGGTTTAGGGTTTAGGGCTTAGGGTCTTTAAGGGGGGTCCTGGGTTGAGGGGGCCGAGGGTCTCTTGGCGACGGTGTGGCCATCGCCCAAGCGGGCGGCGAAGTGTAGCGGAGTGAAGTTCCGGTTGTCCTTCGTTGCTTAGGGTTTAGGGTTGAGGGTTCAGGGTTTAGGGTTTACAAGAAGTGTGCACTTTCAGTTCTTGAGGGGGTTATAGTATACAAAGAAGTGTAAAAGGGTACTCACTCAGCTACGAAGTGTCTTTGATGGACGGGTCGGCTGCGAAGTCTAGCAGGACCTGGCCGCAATAGGGCTTCGAGTTTAGGGTTTAGGGTTTAGGGTTTAGGGTTTAGGGCTTCGAGCTTACCCCTTACAGCCCCCGTTCCGCTCAAGGTGAGCCCCTCTGAACTGCCGCCGGACTTTGTCGCCGAGCATGGCCAGCTTATCCCTCTCATGCTGCCCAAGATGAACCCGGTTAGTCTGACACATTTAGGGATTTAGGGTTTAGGGTTTAGGGTTTGGTTTACTTGGGACTCTCAACCTCAGATGTCGGCCTTAGAAAACAATTCTGAATACAGGGGGTTCTGACTAAGGCATAAATTCCTTGCAGCCCTGAACCCGAACCCGGTTTTGAGCCCTCTTAAACTCAAAACTGGGTTCGAGGCATACTTTGCTCGTACTTAGCCCAAGCTATGGCAGTTGAAGCGAAGCGCGTAGGAAGTGGCACAGCACAAGTCCCAACACCCAGTCCTCAAAAATGACGGACACAACATCTTTTCGCCGTGTTGTGAACAGGAATGCTGGGCGGAGCAGAAATGACATGCAAGTGAGAAGCCGCAACCCCGGAAACCTGAATTCTCTGCCCCCCACCCCTCCCAAAAAAAATGCCTCCAACCCCAAACCTGAACCTCCCCCCCACCCCCCCCCCCCCTAAACCCTAAACCCTAAATCTATGCCCCCCGCACCTGCACAACCTCGGGCCTGCCATACCACACCTCACATCTCGCTGGGCTTCTTCGACTGTCAGGTTCCCTTCAAACCCTAAACCCTAAACCCTAAACCTAAACCCAACGAAGTAAACACCCGGTAAAATGTCTCAACACTAAACAATACAAGCGCAAAATGCTTAAAACCCTACAACCTGGAACCCTGGCAACACCTATAAATTTTAGCGCTGTTCCTTAGGGGTTATAGTAACCAAAAACTAAACAAGTTTTCCAAGTACGCCTAAGAAATCCGAAGCCGCAGGCTGGGCTGAGTT